AAGAAGAAGAAGAAGAAGAAGAAGAAGAAGAAGAAGAAGAAGAAGAAGAGGAGGAGGAGGAGGAGATTGGATTTATACCCCGCCCTTCACTCAGAGTCTCAGAGCAGCTTACAATCTCCTTTCCTTTCCCCTCCCCACAACAGACACCCTGCGAGGTGGGTGGGGCTGAGAGAGCTCTCTCAAGGACTGCCCTTGAGAGAACAGCTCTGCGAGAACTGTGGCTGACCCAAGGTCACACCAGCAACTGCATGTGGAGAAGTGGGGAATCAAACCCGGTTCACCCAGATTGGAGTCCGCCTCTCTTAACCACTGCACCAAACTGGCTCTGCCTGAACACGGAGGTCCCAGTTGACTGCCTTCCACAAATCTATCGAATCTCCTGTTAAGTCTGCCAAAGCCGTTGGTCACCACAACATCCTGAGGCTGTGAGTTCCACAAGTCAGTTCTGCACGGGGAAAAGAAGAAGTGATTTCTTTTGTCCATCATAAATCCACCGCCGATCACCGTCATTCCATAGAGATCAGAATCTCTCCCCTATTCACCAAGAGGATTACTGCTGAGTCCCATTGATATTTCCTTTCCTGCATTTCAACCCATCTTTTGTGTAAGGAGTTCCGTCTTTTTATCCTCACAACAGCCCTGCGAGAGAGTGACTGGACCACGGTCACCCGGTGAGCTTCCAGGGCAGAGTGAGGATTGGAACTAGGCTCTTCCTGGTTGAATACACCACTGGATTTCAGGCACCACCACCCCTGCTTCTTGCAAACAGCATTTAAAGGGACCCTTTAAATGCTGTTTGCAAGAAGCAGGGGCCACGCGCACCTGAACTCCGCTGGTGGTCGGCAGGAGCCAGCGAAATCAGGGTATCACCTGCCCCCAACTGGGAACTGGCATCCCTATTCAAATCACCTACCCGTTTGGTGTAGTGGTTAAGAGCGTGGACTCTAATCGGGGAGCTACCTGATAGAATTTGAGAGATACGCTGTCTTAGATGGGTTATTATGTTCGCTGCAAGGGTTCTGATGGGACCTTAGACAATGCTGCTATCTCAAGAGCTTTTGTGCTCACAAAGAAAAATTATTGCGCCTTATCAGGGGTCATTTCCGGCAGGAGCGCACAGGAGCACAGCTCTGGCAGTAAAGATCTCAGGGGGCGGGCACATGCAACAAGCCCCACCCCCTGTTCCCAGCAGCCCTCAGTCAGAGCAAGAAACAGCCAGGTAAGTTGCAGAGCCCCCCCCCCCCGGTCCAAAACAGTCCAGTGACCCCTTTAAGACCAGGTTTTATTCAGGTAGAAGCTCTCCCTCCTCTGTGAGGACAGATCTACATGTTCTCTCCCCCCCCCCCCAATAGCTAGCAATCCAAAACAGTCCGGTGGAGCCTGAGCGGTGGGTGTTGCCTTCTGACACACTTCAGGTGTGTTCAGATGGGGCGTTTGAGCCAGTATACGAGCCGGTTAGAAACGGAGTACTTATGCGCGATCACACTCACAACATCTGCCTCCCATCCCTAACCATTGCCAACCGTCGCAAACACCCCTTAAACTGGTGTAGTTTGCTACTAGATCCCCAAGTGGTGTTTTCTTGAGTGCTCCAGTTCTAGCAGCATTTTCCCCGTTTGATCGCTCACCGCCAGTATAGAGCCACTTCCGTTTGGAAGCCCAAGGCTTCCGCTTGTCATCCTCCATTTTTTTAAAATCGTAGGCGATGTGCACTTGGACGAAGCTTTGCCCCGACGTTAGTAAAAGCAAACTTTAAACGGTGCCCAGTTTCAGCCCACAGACAAGTCCGGGACCTCATTGAGGCCAGTTTCGATGTCAAAGTTTAAAGGGAAGTCTTCGCTTCAGGGCACGCTTTTCGGACTACGGTGTTATGTGCATGCGCGAAGATCTCAATTATATGAAAGATTGCCTTCGCGCATGCGCAAACGGAGTAGAAATTTTTAAAAACTGCCGACGTGTGCTGCTGAGCGCCTGAAGTGTGGACGCCGGGGAGCGATGTGCAGCACAGTGAGAGGTGAGTGTGATCGCGCTTTCCCCCCGATCAATTTCATCCAGTTGGAACCGGAGCGGTTTACACCGCTCCCACCCCGCCGTCTGACCGCACCATTCCAGTGATGTCAGGGGGTGTGCCATATGCAAATGAGTTATGCTAATGAGCTCCTGCACCTCTTTTTCTATGAAATGACCCCTGCGCCCTATGTTCTTTATATAAACATCACAGTCCTCAAAGATGATTCATTCAAAGGGTAAATTACTAGAGTCCCGTGGGACTAGTGATAGTGTTACTGACATGGTGCTGTCTGAATGTAAACCTGCACTCGATGTATTTTTTGGGTGAAACATATTTTTCTCTACGTACTGTTTGGGTGAAATACATCTTTGATAATATTTGATACCAATATTTAGACAATAGTATTGAAAAATATAAAAGGAAAAAGAATAAAGCATAAAATTGTTTTACCATAAGCATATATTTATTGTAAAAAGGTAAAGGATCCCTTGCTCGAAAGCCAGTCGAGTCCGACTCTAGGGTTGCGGTGCTCATCTCCGTTTCAAAGCCGAAGAGCCAGCGCTGTCCGAAGACGTTTCCGTGGTCATGTGGCCGGCGTGACTAAACAACAAGGCGCACGGAACGCTGTTCCCTTCCCACCAAAGTGGTACCTATTTATCTACTTGCAATTCCTTGCTTTCGAACGGCTAGGTTGGCAGGAGCTGGAACTAGAGACGGGAGCTCACTCCGTCATGCGGCAACTCGGGTCTCGAACTGCTGAACTACCGACCTTCCACAGCCTGCAGTTCAGCGTCTTAACCACTTGAGCCACCGCACAGTGATATATATTTTTGTATGTCTTCCTGTGACCCTCGGTTTTTTATTTCTCACCTGGGAACAGGCATCCCTATTCACATCACCAACCCGTTTGCTTTAGTGGTTAGGAGCGTGGACTCTAATCTGGGAGAACCAGGTTTGATTCCCCACTCTTCCACATGCAGCTGCTGGCGTGACCTTGGGCCAGTCATAAGTTCTCTCAGAGCTGTTCTCTCAAGGACAGTCCTCAAAAGTGCTCTCTCAGCCCCACCTACCTCACAGGGTGTCTGTTGTGGGGAGGAGAAGGGAAAGGAGATTGTGAGCTGCTCGGAGACTCCTCTTGGTAGCAAAGGGCAGGGTAGAAATCCAATCTCTTCTCTCTCCTTCTTTTTCTCTCTACTACCTGGTTATTTTAACTGGAGGTGCCGGGGATTGAACCTGGGGCCTTCTGCGTGCCAAGCAGATGCTCTAGCACTGGTTCCTATTCCAAAGGAGAATGGTGTAAGCCACTCCAGGTTCCCATTCAGGAGAAAGGCAGGGGAGCAAAGAAGTGAATAAACAAATACATAAGAACATAAGAGATGCCAATGTTGGATCAGGCCAGTGGCCCATCCAGTCCAACACTCTGTCACACAGTGGCCAAAAATACCAGGGGCCATCAGGAGGTCCACCAGTGGGGCCAGGACACTAGAAGCCCTCCCACTGTTGCCACCACCACCACCCAAGCACCAAGAAGACAGAGCATCCCTTGCCCCAGACAGAGTATTCCCTCTATAAGAACATAAGAGAAGCCAAGGTTGGATCAGGCCAGTGGCCCATCCAGTCCAACCCTCTGTGTCACACAGTGGCCAAAAATATAAGGTGCCATCAGGAGGTCCACCAGTTGGGCCTGGACACTAGAAGCCCTCCCACAGTTGCCCCCCCCCAAGCACCAAGAATACAGAGCATCCCTTGCCCCAGACAGAGTATTCCCTCTATAAGAACATAAGAGAAGCCAATGTTGGATCAGGCCAATGGCCCATCCAGTCCAACAGTCTGTCACACAGTGGCCAAAAATACCAGGGGCCATCAGGAGGTCCAGCAGTGGGGCTGGGATACTAGAAGCCCTCCCGAGTGTTAGATCGCGCTAACAAAGGACTCGTACAGTGATTCAGCAAGTGATTCAGCTTTATTGGAAGTAACTAGCAAGCACTAACTCAGTAAGAAACCAGAACAGAAAACAGTGGGAGCTTATGCTCCTTTTAAACATAACCGGGCTAATGTAGCCACGCCTATTTACAAATAACAACCAATGAGATTGCTAGAATAAAGACCAATGGGAGTCTTTCCCTCCTAGGGAATGGTACCGTTCTGATTGGTCGCTGTTACGAAGCGACCAATAGGAAGTTCGCTCAGAGGAGCCCTGGTCTGGCTCGAAGCTTAACACGGGAGTCCTATGAGGTGATTCATGTAATCATTTCAATACATTACAATTCCTCCCCCCTAAGTTAAGCCATCATCCCAATTGTTTTATTATTTACAAACATGCAATCAACCTTTGTACATCAGTTATTCCAACAGTATTTACACTCATAGTCCTTCAGATAAGTCGGCATTTGCCGCGAACGCTGGGACCTGCGGAGCGGTGCAGGCTCCACGGGCAGACAAGGTTGTGGGTCAGAGTGGGGTTCACTACAGCCTGGATCAGGCACAGACTCGACTGGGATTTCAGCCCCGCACACAGGGTTCTGCCCTGACTCGGGGACAGTACCGGGCCTTTCGGTACTCACCGCCTGCTCTGGGGGTGTCCACTCGACATCAGGGGATTCAGCCGTCGGAGAGTCAGCGCTGTCCCTAGCCCAACGTCTCCTTAACTGATCTATGTGGCGCCGCCATATTCGACCGTCAGCTAACTGCACCACATACATTCGAGTACCCACAGAGTCGGATATAACCCCAGGAAGCCACAAGTGCCCGTTTGCATAATTTCGTGCGAAAACCTTGTCCCCTTTTTCAAACATGCGCACCTTCGGTTGCGCAGTGGTACGCTCGGACTGATCTTCTGTGAGGTCTGGGTGCATTCGGTTCAAACGGGTCGTGAGTCTCCGCCCCATTAACAATTCGGCCGGACTACGGCCTGTAGCACTACAGGGGGTGGTGTGCTGCAGCAAAAGAAAGGAGCCCAGCCTCTGGCTCCAGTCCCCTTCGTCCATTTTACCCAGGGCCTCTTTGGCCGTCCTGACCATCCGTTCGGCTTGGCCATTAGATGCCGGATGGAAAGGGGCCGAAGTCATTTGGCGTATGCCATTACTCGTGAGGAAGAGCCTAAATTCCTCAGACACAAATTGAGGCCCGTTGTCACTGACGATGACGTCAGGCAACCCGTGGGTGGCAAAAAGTCGGCGGAGCGCATGGATCACAGCAAGTGATGTGGTCGATTTCATATGCACGACCTCCAGCCATTTGGACATAGCGTCCACCACAATTAGGAACATTTGCCCTTGGAGAGGGCCAGCAAAATCTATATGCAATCTGGCCCAGGGTTTACCAGATGACTCCCAGCCTTGGGGTGTAGCTTGTGGGGGATCGGGTCTGACTTGCTGGCATTTGGGACACCCTCGTACCCATTCTTCGATCTCTTTGTCCAGCCCCGGCCACCAGACATACCCTCTGGCCAACGCTTTGGTGTGTACCATACCGGGGTGACCCTCGTGCAGCGACTCTAACACTCTCGTCCTGAGTTTGTCAGGAACCACCACCCTGTTCCCCCATAATACACAGCCCTTAGAAATGGATAGTTCATTTTGACGGCTTTTGTAAGGGCCGAACTCCGGTTCAACGCTTCCAACCGGCCACCCCCTCCAAACCCAGTTTAATACTCGGGACAGCACGCTATCCTTGGCCGTGTGTGCTGCAATGTCCCTGGATGATACCGGGGGTCGAGGAAGCTCCTCAATTGCCAAGACCTCACAGGCGGGGGCAGGGTCTGCGCCAATGTCCGGCACCGGGCACCGGCTGAGGGCATCCGCATGCCCAATCGCTTTCCCAGGCCGGTGCTCTAAGTCAAAATCATAAGCCTGCAAAAATATCGCCCATCTAAGCATGCGTGGGGACATGATGTTTGGCAATTGCTTATCGGGCGCAAAAATCCCCAGTAGCGGCTTGTGGTCAGTGACCAGCAAAAATCGTCTGCCAAAAATAAAATCATGGAACTTTTTGACAGCCGCTACCAACGCCAGACCCTCCTTGTCTATCTGGGCATAGTTCCGCTCTGCCGCAGATAGTGATCTAGAATAAAAAGCGATAGGCGCTTCGCTCCCATCAGGCATCAGATGGCTTAAAACTGCGCCTACTCCAAACGGTGAAGCGTCAGCAGCTAACACCAGGAGCTTGTGTTCATCATAATGCGTGAGTACGGCATTAGATGTCAGCAGCTCCTTGACTCCCACAAAAGCCTTTTCCTCGGCCTGCCCCCACTTCCATTTTGCCTCCTTGTGCAAAAGCGCGTGCAAAGGGGCCGCCACTGATGCCTTATGCGGTAAAAACGCATGATAAAAATTCAGGAGTCCTAAAAAGGATTGGAGCTCCTTCTTACTCACCGGCCTGGGGGCGTTTTGGATTGCAGATACCTTCTCATCCGTGGGGTGGACTCCCTCTGCGTCAATGCGAAACCCCAGGAAGTCCACACTTTCCACCCCGAGCGTGCATTTTGAGCGCTTAACTCTGAGGCCGGCATTTTGAAAACGCCTGAGGACCTCTTTAACCCGGTCCAGTAGTTCCTGTTCAGACCCGCCCGCAATCAGCACGTCGTCAAAATAGGGCACTGTGCCAGGTACCCCCCTTAGTAGACGTTCCATGAGGCCCTGAAAAATCCCAGGTGCTACGTTGACCCCGAATTGCAGCCTGTTCACTTTAAAAGCCCCTTGGTGGGTTACAATTGTTTGGGCCTCGGCAGCCTCCGGGGTGACAGGCAACTGCTGGTATGCCTGGGCCAGGTCAAATTTGGCGAAAATCTTGCCACCCCCCAGGGAAGCCAAAATGTGGCTTATTACCGGGACCGGGTACGAATGTTGCTGCAGCGCCTTGTTAATCGTACATTTGTAATCGGCGCATAGTCGTATGGACCCATCTGATTTGACAGGGGTTACGATCGGGGTCTCCCATTTGCTGTATGGTACTGGCTCTAAAACCCCTTGCTCAACTAGTTTGTCAATCTCTTTTTCCACCTT